GGGGTCTCACTCTTGCTCAGGCTGGTCTCGAACTCCTGACCTTGAGCGATCCGCCTGCCTCGGGCTCCCAGAGTGCTAGGATTACAGGCATGAGCCACAGCGCCTGGCCAGTTTGTTCCTTTTTAATGCTGAGTGGTATTCTATGGTACGAATGTACCACAGTTTAACCCTTTACCTGTTGAAGGTCATTTGGGCTGTTTCCAGCTTTTGACTATTATGAATAAAGCTGCTATGAACATTTGTCTACAGGTTTTTAAATGCCCACGATATGGAATTTACAGCCCACATTCTGGGGACCAGGAGTGCTCACTGTGTCATTGTTTCCAAGGGCTTTTCAGTGGACAGAATTAGGATAGAGATACTTTTAAATTTTAGGTAAAATATACCATGGATTCATATAGATACTTCCTATCCCAATTCAAGACTATAGGGGTTTTACATAATATCCTAGATTTTACATCTCCATCTCCTCCATCTTTTATGCCAAAATTCCAGTTCTAACATCAGTGAGGTTACCTGCTTTATCTTACACATTCTCACCTATTCCCAACAAGACTACTAAGAACAAAATAAGATTTTTTGGTAGTTTTTCTTTTTTTTTAAAAAAGGCAGTTATTTTTGTCCTTAGGGTAGATCTCAGAGATGCACAAATTACTGTTTTAAAGTCACTTCAGAAGTTACCTTTTGTGTAGTTATGTCACTAACAAGATCCACATTTAGGTTCATTTGTTTCATTTTTCTTTCAACTTTCAGAGATTGATTTTTAAAACTAATTTTTTCATATAACCATGTAAAATATATACATTTCCCAAGTCAAATATACAAAATGAAGTATATTCAGAGCCATTTTTCCCTTCATTCTATTCTGTCCTTTCCTATGTCACCATTTAAAATTTTTTAATAATCTACACTTCCACTTTTAAAAAATATTCATATTTGGCTTAGTGCAGTGCCTCAAGCCTGTAATCCCAGCCACTTGGGGAGGTGGAGGTGAGAGGATCCCTTGAGGCCAGGAGTTCCAGACCAGCGTGGGCAACATAGGGAGAGCCCAAGACCCCCTCTCTACAAAAAGTAAAAAAAGTAGTGGGCCTCTAGTCCCAGCTACTCCAGAGGCTGAGGCAGGAGAATGCTTGAGTTGGAGGCTGCAGTAAGCTATCATGCCACTGCACTCCAGCCTGGGGCGATGGAGTGAGACCCTGTCTCTTAAAAAAAAAAATACATTTGTGCCTCCCTATTCCCTTTCACAACTGAGCAGTAAAGATAATGGACATACTTTCTTATTCCTGACTTTAGCAGGAAAGTCTCTAGTGTTTCACCATTAAGATTATGGACAGAAAAAACCCAAACTCTGAAATACTGTAAGAGGTTTATTCCGGGCCAAATTTGAGGACCATGGCCCAGAGCCACTCCCAAGAAACCTTGAGCAAGTGGACTCGCTGTGGTTGGGTTACAGTTTGGTTTTATACATTTCAGGGAGACAGGGGTTACAGGTAAAGTCATAAATCAATACGTGGGAAGCATACATTGGTTTGGCCCAAAAAGTTGGGACATCTCAAAGTGGGAGGGGGGAGTTAAACTTACAGGTTATAGGTGAGTTTAAAGATTCCTTGGCTGACAATTGGCTGAGAGAGTTAGGCTTTATCTAAAAGACCAGAAAGGAAATGCTTAATTTAAGATAAAGGTGTGAGCACTCTGGGAGGTCCAGACAGGAGGATCTTTTAGGTTAAGATAAGGATCTGCGGATGCTTAAGATGGGGGGCTTTCTATGTTTTCTATAGCTGATGCTGTACCCCAATCACGTTGGGAAGTAAACCACACTATATTTGGTTAACAAAACCTTGCCTAGTGAGATTTTACCATTTGTGAGCATGGCTCATCAGGCCCCCTTAGGAAGGAATTTTGAGCAAAAGAAAAGATCAGAGTTCAGTCCTCAAGATCTTCCTTTAAAACTTTTTGTAACATGAAAGCTATGCTATTCCTTCTATTTGATCTTCAACAGTATTTTCTGGAAAGATAAACTAAAGGATGTGAAAACTCTCAAATTGAAAAGTGGTACACAAACATGCCTGTTGACTGAGCATCAGTACATTCTGGGAGAGCCTCAAGATTCCTGAACCCAACTCACTACCTGTTGCATAAGAATAAACGGAGGCTCAACAGAACTGAGGGACGTGCCCCAAGTTAAGCTAGGGAGCCGGTGGAAGCTCCAGTCTCCTGTTCCGCAGACCAGGGGTCTTCGGCTACCTGGAGAAGGTTGGGGCCCAGGATAAATATACTGACATAAAAAAAAAAAAAAAAAAACTGTACCCAGAATACACATATCTGTTTTCATACGGATTAATATTTTCAGGAACTCTCGAAGGGAATAAGAAGTCACAAAAGGCCGCAAGAGTGCATGAGTCCCAGGAGGGAGCCCAGGGCTGGGTCAGCCATCCCCGCCCCCACTCAGGGAAGCTCCGGGCTGAGTTCGGAGGCGACTGAACACCCGGAAATGCTGTGGAGGCCCCGAAGGGGGAGGTCTAGATGCGGAAACACTGGACCGTTAAGTTAAAGCTGCTCTATTTGCCGACCCAAGAGGGAAGACTGACGCACTCGGCACCCCAGCACAAGCCGGGCGAAGATTCTGCCGGGCAGGTATACCACATCGTAGCTTTTAAAAGAAGTGGCCCTGATAAGGACCCGTAGGGCTTCAACGGGCTTCAGCTCTAAAATACCTCGGCCTAGGGGCGGCGCCAAGGTTGTGCAGGCGGAAGCCCGCCGGGAAGCTGGGGGCGGAGCAAAGGAAATGACGCTGTAGGGGCACCAATAGGGTGGGACGGAGGGGTGTTGTCTCCGCCCTGGCAGCGGCGCCTGGGAGGGCGGGAGAGGTGGCGAGGCGGTGCCTGGTGGCCCTAACTTAGCCCGCCTACGACCCTGCACCCCCTCAGCAACTCTAAAGATGATGAGCTGTAGGGGGTTAGAGCTGGAGTCGGTGGGAGGGGAAGAGGCCGTGGCGGTCCCGGGGCCACCCCCAGAACCTCGAGCCCAGGAACCCCGAGCCCCAGTGCCTGAACCCGGCCTGGACCTGAGCCTGAGCCCAAGGCCCGAGAGCCCCGAGCCGCGAAGCTGCAGCCCCGGGCGGCGAAAGGGGCGGGCGGAGAGGCGGGGAGGGACTCGGAAGAGGCGGCAGGTGAGCTGAGGGAAGGCCTGGCACCCATCCTGTTGACGACCCCGCGCCCACCTCTTCACGGCCCTGCCCTCTGCTCCCAGGTCCGTTTCCGCCTACGGCCGCCTTCCGCAGTACGGTCCGAGCCGCCGCCGCCGGCCGCTGCACCGAGCGACAAGCCCGCGGCGCCGCAGGAGCTGGAGGTGCCCGCGCTGCAGAGCAGTCTGGCCTTGAGCCTCGAGCTGCAGGCCGCGCGGGCCGCAGCTGGGAGCCAGTTTGATGCCGCGAAGGCCGTGGAGGAACAGCTGAGAAAGTCGTTCCAGATCCGCTGCGGCTTGGAGGAGAGCGTGTCCGAGGGTGAGGGGGGCAGAGGGTAGGCGGAGGGCGGGAGGGAGTAGGGGTGAAGAACCTCGCTCACCTCCCCCCGCCTCCGTCTCAGGGCTGAACGTACCGCGTTCCAAGCGGCTCTTCCGGGACCTGGTGAGCCTGCAGGTACCGGAGGAACAAGTTCTGAACGCTGCACTGAGGGAGAAATTGGCTCTCCTGCCGCCGCAGGCCCGAGCCCCGCCCCAAAAGGTGAAGGGACTAGGGCGTGGGGCTTCCTCCCTGTACCCCTTCCCTACCCCCTCGCGGATTCTTCTTCCCAGACTGTGATGTGGCTTTGGGCCCCAACTCCAACAGGAGCCATCTGGGCCAGGGCCGGACATGACCATCCTGTGTGACCCAGAAACACTATTTTATGAATCTCCACACTTGACCCTGGATGGTCTGCCCCCTCTCCGGCTTCAACTCCGGCCCCGGCCTTCAGAGGACACCTTCCTCATGCATCGGACACTGAGGCGATGGGAAGCTTAGACCTAGCTCCCTGGATGGCTAGTTCATATTTTTGTGTTAAAACTATTTTTCAGAATAAAGTGGTTTTACTAACAAATGGGACTCTTCTTGGAGCCCTAAGGTGGGTCTAAAACCCCTCCAGGGGTTTGTCTACTAGCCTCAGATTGGAAGCTGCCTGGAAGTAGAGTTTTTGGGCTTTTTAGGAACTTGGTAGAATCACAGCAAGTAGAAAACACTGTCCAAGTCAGAGGTTAGATTACCTCTCCTCCCCTCACCACCTTACCTGCCTTTCCCTGACTTCAGTCACAGCTACCACGTTTTTGATGACACTTGTCCCTTTGCACCACTTACTTCTGATCATTTAAAAGGGTGGCCTTCCCTGAATACCTGTCTCAATTAACCTGCAAGGCAGCTGCCAGCACTGAGTTACTGAAAATTATCTATCTTTTTACCTTGAAGGGCTTTGCCCATCTTGTTTATGCCTGACCCAAGAGTGTTCAGTGTTTGTGGAACAAATGTTCAAAGCTCCAGTAACACTTGAGGCACTGAAGAGTTTTCATGTTAATTGCCTATACATCTGATTCCACAGCACAAAAAAGGTGGTTGGTGGGTGTCTAAGAGCAGGTAGGTGGCTCTGGTCCAAAGTAGTTTTTTCTACCTCCACTCCAACTCTATTGTTAACTCTTCCAAAATTAGCCTTCTGCCTAAAGCTCCCACACACAAAATTCGTCAACAGGGTTTTTGGGGGAAAGAAGATGGGACTCCTCCTTCAAGTTGAAAAGTTGCATTACACCCCTTTTCCTGACTAGGGTTCTGTGTTCTTGTGTTAGATTTGACTAGCAGTCAATAATGTCCTGAACACTGAAAAACCTGTCTTCCTTGAGACTCTAGTATGAGAGGAAGCACAGGTTCTATGGGGAGGCACCATCCTTTCCCCACCAGCTAGAAAGTAGCAGACACAGGTTTGGGGCCACTGCCCTAAACATCAAGTTTATTGTGCTGTTCTCACATTCAAAAACCCAACCCCTTCTCCCATTGGGGGACAGCAGAGGGAAGGATTTTCACAGTACCTGCATGCCTCCCTGCCAAGCTTCCCCTTCTAACCCTCAGTCCATCTATCCGTGGTCCACTGAAATGCAGCTAGGGACAAGGGCCAAGGAGAAATGGGAATCTCTCTCCTTGGGAGAACAGGAGGAAAGGGCTAGAGAATTTGACACCCCCCACCTCCCATGCCCTAGGAGAACAGAGGTCAGCAAACAGTCCGTGCCATCCAGCCCAGCAGGCTGGGGGCGGGGATGATGACGATGATGATGGTAACTCCAGCACAGCTGGGCTTGCTGCTTAGGTGCCAGAAGTGTAAGGGAGGCTGGGGCAGCAACATAAGAAAAGCTTTCTCTGCAGATCCAAGAAAGGAAACTATTTTTGGAGTCAGAAAGGAAAGACCTTAGGATACTTTCCTCTTCCCCCAGGTCCTTAGGAGCAGTGAGGGCAGCCTCTTCACACTTTCTGTTCAGGGGGCCACTTAGTGGCTGGGGGAACGGGCCTTGTGGAACAGGTACACAGGACGCTGGAAGCCTGAGAGGAGAGTGTGCAATCAGAAGGGCTGGCAGGACCTCAGGACTCCCCACAGAGTCTGTACCCTCTCAGCCAAGACTGCCTCCCCCAACAAAATAAGCCAGCCTTACCTTTAGAGGTGTTGTGGGGTGTGGCCACAAGCTCATAGCTAGAGAAGCCCACCTCTGGGGATGTCAGGTAGGAACTGAATTGCTCTGGCTTCAGCTTGATTCGATAGTAGTTCTTGTAGATTGTTTCCTAGGGAGAAAGGCAGAGGAGGGACCACTTCAGCTTGCTGCCTCCTCTCCTAGCCAAGGGTGATGCCCACCTGGGGGCCTTTTCAGCTTGTTCAGGAAGTCCTTCTTCTGCTTCCTTGAGGCATTTCTTGCCTCCACCAAGGGAAGAATTATTCCCCATTTCCACTGAAACCCAACTCACCGTAAGAGTCTTTCTCTTGCCATAGGATGACCAGGGTTGGGGCTCCAGGACCAGGATACCCCCAGGACGTAGGTGCCGGTAGATCCGGCGAAACATGCGCTTCAGCCCCTCATCTCCCCAGTTCAGATGCACCCACTTGGTGAGGCTGAGGCAGAGCACCACATCATACTCTGGTGTTTGTGCCTCCACCAGCTCATCTCGATCCAGCACATAGTTACCCTGAGGGCAAGAATTGGGGGAGGTCAACAGAGGGATTACAAGAAGCACAGCCCCCATATAACCCACTCTGCAGCCTCAGAGACAAAGTCCTGCAGCCTCACTTTAGCTTGTGGTCACATTTTTCTCAGACTGACTCCCAAATGGTGCCCTCTGAGTCTCATTTTCTCTCTATTCTCTCCTGCCTCTCTCTGCTTCCTACTGATGGTAAACCAAACAAACACAAAAAAAGGAGCCTGGGTAATTTTAAATGGAGCAAATTATCCATCCATGAAGTCATCCAAGCTGGGGTCAAATTACAGTGGGAGATGCCAGGGTTCTCCCAAGACCCTATCCTGTGCTTATTCCCACCCACAAACATTAAGCAGAGTGACAATGTTATGCAAGAGTAACTACCCAGGTTTCAAAGGGAGACCTGTGGTTCCCTCCCTGTAGTTGGGGCTGGCAAAATTTCAGGCTTATTTTTTCCTTTCTCTGAGAGAAATGAAGAGCCACATCCCTTAGGAAACCTTTTCTAGGTGATAAGCTCATCACCCACTGGGAGGTTCATTCTTCAGGCTCAACCCAAATACACTGTCAAATATTCTGGCCGATGGCCTGACGAGTGTTCTGTGGGAAGCTATGTGCAGTCAGGGGACAGACACTTTGCCAGGCACAGTACCCTCCCCTCTCAGCAGAGGAGTCTCTGACTCTTCCCCCTCCCACTATCTGGGGTCAACCTGGAGATGATCTAAAGCCGAGCCACTGGAATCCCGACCACTGAACGCTCTTGAACGAACTCTGTCTAGGAAAACAAAAGCAGCTGATGCAAACAAGGTCCCTATTAAAGGAAAGAAACTGTACATATTAGTCTGCCACTACCCTAATCTCTCCTCCCCCCTCAAGACATTCCATGTATGACACCCATCCCTCACGGTCTGTTAAGGAATTTGAGGACAAGTTTCTACCTGGACCGAATTCCCTAGTGAGCAGCAGCAGCCTTAAAGGGAAGGTGGATCGGTCTGGATTACAGTCCAGGCTGGGAGCAGGGCAAAAGGAGTCACCCTCTCTCTTGGGCAAGAGATCCTTGCAGTCAGAAGGACCCCAGGGGTTAAAGCCTCACACCTTTCCAGGTTATCAGAGGTGAAAGACATCCAGCAGAGGCTTTCACTCACCAATCCAGACCCTTCTCTTGAGGATCTGGTTCTCCTAGCAAGGAATGAATGCACGAAAACCCCTCTGGGTCATATCTTTCCCCTGCCACATTCCCATTTAATCTCCTCTTCATAGCTGGCCCCTATTCCAAGAGCCTCTGGACCCTCTTACCGTGACGAAGACAACATTGTTGGGGAAGACTGATGTGTCCGCTCCATCCAAGGGCACTTGGGGTGCAGCAATGGGACCCCGGCTGGCTGTCAGCGAGGCTGGAAAGCAGCTCCTCTTTCGGACGGTGGTGGTCCCTTCCTCACCCTCTGCCCCTGGGTCCCCCTCAGAAGTCTGAGGTGGGAGACGCAGCTCCTCAGACAGGTAGTGTCGGATGTTTTGGCGGGCCGAATGGATGAGCCGGGCATCAATATCCAGGCCCACCATGCGGGATGGGCCCCACTTGCAGGCAATGCTCAGGGTGAGATGGCCCACATTGCAGCCCAGATCTAGGACGTCCCGGCCCCGAAACCACTCAGGCTTCAACACCCGAAGGCGCCCATCCTCACAGGAAGGATTGCGGTACCCATAGTACTTGCAATAATTCCCATACTGGAACTTGCGCTGTTGCTTTTTGAAGCCTGCTGCAGGTAGTGGGTGGTGGTGGCGGCCTCCCCCACTCCCTCGGCCCTTTTCCTTGGAACCCTGGCCTCCACCCCTAGCCCCTGCCTCCGACTTGCTGGAAGTCCTGCGACGTTTTCGATGTCGTGAGGAGGAAGACGGGGGTGCAGAGGTAACTGAGGCAGCTGGAGGGGCTGAGAGGGAGCCTGAGGGACCCTGCAGGGCAGATGGAAGGGGAGACACGACTTCATCCCTGCAGTTGATGGCTGTGTTGAGTTCATAGGGTTGGGGCGCATCCCGGTTCTGGCCCCTATGCCGCTGCTGCTGTGTGGTGCCCTCCCCGTGGAGTGAGGGAGTGAGGGGGGCTGTGGGCAGCACAGAGTGGCTATCATTCCCTCCAGTTGCCTGCTGCTGCTGGTGGTGCTGTCCCCGGTGTCTATGCCGCTTCCGACCAGTCTTGAGTGGTGAAGCAAGAACTACTTGGGCCTCATCAGTGCAACTATTGAGACTGAGCGGATCAGTAATATCTTTGGGGATGAGGATCTCCACTGGGTCTCGCCCTTTGGCCGGAAGAGGGGATGACTTAGGGGTCTCCGCATTGAGTGCTCGGCTCACTTCCTCATCCAGGAGACTATTCAGGTTCAGTGGGTCAAAGATATTGCCCCCCAGGAGGAAGTTGGAGGGTAATACAGAGTCACAGTCCGAATTAACCCGCCTGCGCCTCTTGAAGGCCGGATGTTTGAAGCCTCCACCACCTCCTCCCACATTACAGCTATTTCTTCTTTTGCCTCCACCCCCTCCAGGGGGCCGGTGGGGCTGATAGCCATTACGGGGTCGAGGAGGGGCAGGGGGGCCGAGTTCTGTTCCGCCCCCTCCCCGTCGCTCCTCCCCCACGTCCGGGGGAGCGGCTCGCCCGTGGGGATCCGACAAACGGGCCTCCCCGTGCGACTGCGCCTGGGGGCCGCCCCCTCGGTGCTGCTGCGCCAGGCCGCCCCGAGGAGTGGATGCAGCCCTGGGACTCTCCTTGCCAGCCCCAGAAGCCGGGGCCCCCGCCGAATGTGCGCGAGGGCCCGGCCCACGCTCCGTCCCGCCGCGGAGCTCCCCGGAGGCGGCCTCTTGGTGCGGTGGCACCGAGGGGCCGC